CGGTCAATCAGTGAGCGAAGGAGCCAGCGCAAGTGTGATATTGGGGATGGAGGAGGGGGACAAAAGGAAGAATCTTGTGGGTCTGCCCAGAAGTGCAACCAGCTCTGGAATGTAACCAAATCCAGTAAAGAGACCCAGCAATTATCAAGGGTGGAATGCAATTACAGTCGAGTAAAAGGCACCTCCTTTTGGCTGTCTCTCTGTCCCCTTGGCAAGCTTTTTCCAAGGAAGATGGCAGGCAGTATAGTACTTAAGACTTGGGTTCATTTGGGCAAGAGGTGGCTAACAAAGCCTAGTGGAGCAATGGTGCAGGCAAAGTTTAATTGCTCCTTAATTCTTGCTGGATTAGAAGACTCTTTGCTCCAGTTTCAAATAGCTTTTAAAGCATATTGTGGCATTAATGGGAGGCCCTTTACTGTGACTTGAGAGGCCTCTGATCTCAGCACTGTTCAGACTGGCAGCATCACCTGTCCTAAAACAACATACTGTAGTTGAAACACAAAAGGGAAATGGAGGCTGGATCATTGAGGAGAGTCTGTGCCTAAAATTACGGTATAACACCAAGGTAGCTTGCATTAGGAAAATGAGATTTGCCATCAGAGGTGACTAACAGTACAGCAGTATACCTGTCTGCTCATTCAGTGGAGCTTCCAGGTAAGTATGTGTTGGGTTGCAGTTCATGGCAACAGATATGAGAGGGAGAAGCAACATAGGCAGAAGAGCCTTAAATCTGACAAATTGGAGGCATTCATTTGGTGCTGTGAAAGTAGAGCTTGGATTATTCTTCTGTTTTGATTTATGTCTTCTGATGTTTGTAGAAAGCAGGCGAGGAGGTCAAAGGTGAGGAAGAAGAAGAAGACGAAGAAGATGAAGTCTCCACTATGTCCGAAGGTTCAGAAGTGGCACAGGATTTTGAGGCCAGCAATTATGGCAGACCAGGGATAGGCCAACTGAATGGGGACTGTAAGGACAGCAAGCATGGTGGGAAAGAGATCCCCCAGCCCAGTGGCGCCCTCGCCAGAGACCTGCGCTCCCTCGAAGAGGAGCAGTCCTTGAGGAAAGGATCGGAGCGTCCCCCCCACCCCGAAGGAAATGAGCAATGTCATGCAAAGGCCTCTTGGCCTGGAGAAAGTGCCTGTCACCGCCTGGGGGGTAGCAAGAAAGATGGCAGCACCTACCAGCAACCAGACAGAGCAGGTATGGGAGAGGGTGGGGTGGGGAGGGCTTGGGGGGGTTGGGAGAATTAATGGCCAGGCTTGACTGCCCTGGGAGGCAGACGATCATCATGGCGAAGCCCATTTCAAGTGGTATTATTTGGCATTGATAGAGGAGTTACGTTTATGTTTATGGGGCCAGAGATGCAAAGGCCTACAAGAAAATTCATCCAGACTGGTGAGGAAAAAATCCTGGTTTCTCAGTATCAACTCCAGGCCTTCATGTTTATGCTCTGGAGTATAAAACGTTCTTCAGGTGGTGTGGTGGCAGATTTGGAAGTGCACATGGCTCATCATGATGATCTCCTCAGTCTGTCCCATATGGACAGCGTCCTGAAAATGCAGACCGCTGAAACAACGGGATCAGTCCTGATCACAGAATCAGAATAATTAAGTTGGAAGGGGCCTATAAGAGCATCAAGTCCAACCCCGTGACAAATGCTTCGCCACTTTTCTCTTGAATGCCTCCCATGTTGGAGCACTCACCACTTCCAGAGGTAACTGGCTCCATTATTCGCTGCTCTAACAGTTAAGAAATTTTTTTTCCTGGTATTCAGCCTAAATCTGACTTCCTGTATCATCAGGATATCTCAGTGGTTTAGGTATCTGGCTGCAGAGCCAGAAATTGGGAGTTGAATTTCCCATTGTGTTTCCTTAACAGGCCTGGGCTCAATGATCTGTAGGGTCCCTTCCGGCTCTACAGTTCTAAAATTACTATTATCATCACCATCAGGTTAGGAGCAGGACTTTTGTAAAGCTAAGGTTGCTCATTCAAGGCCAAACTACCTTCAAATGCTGTGCATGAAAATGTTGTCAGTTTGCAACAATATACTGTTCTGGGAAAGCTGTTTCTCTTCCAGCCGCTGTGAAGTTTGCAGCGAGGCTTGGAGAGGTTGCAGGGGAGTCTTGAGGGGAGTGGTGGATGGTTCATAGCCAGGGCTCTATCTCTCCTTTCTATCGAAATCCAAGGAAGCTGTTCTGGAAAAGTGTCCGGTGTCAGTAATGGACCGGGTCAGGGTGAATTAACTGAAACTTAATCCTGAAACACTGCAGTAGACAGAGGTGCTCCTGGTCAGTCAAAAAGCAGATTAAGAGACAAGGGATGTAGCTTGTGCTGGAGGGGGCTGCACTCCCTCTGAAAACACAGGCCTGCAGCTTGGGGTTGCTCCTGGGTTCATCTCTGAGCCTGGCAGCCTGGGTTTTAGCAGTGGCCAGGAGTGCCTTTGCACTCCTTGAGAGACCTGATCTGGCCATGAGTGAGACATGCCTCAGTTACATTCAAACTGGATTCTTGTAACACACTCTATGTGGGGTTGCCTTTAGGCAGTTTTTGGAAACTTCAGTGGGTTTAAACATTGCAGCCATATTGTTAACTGGGCATGGTTACAGGGGTCACATAACCCCCTTGTTAGAGCAGCTTCACAGGCTGGTGATTGGCTTCTGGGCGCAATTCAAAGGGGTGGTTTTAATCTATGAAGCCCTAGAAGGCTTGGGTCCAAGCTATCTTAAAAGGCTTTCTCACTTTATGAGTCTGCCCATTTGTTAAGATAATCAGGGGAGGCTTTTCTTTTGGTCCCACCACCCTCACAGGTGCGTCTGATGTGGACACAGGAGAGGTCCTTCTCTGCTGCTGCTCCCAGTCTTTGGAACTCCCTCCCACCGGAGGCCAAGCTGGCCCCATCTTTACTGTCCTTGCGCAAGCATATGAAGACCTTTCCCTTAGTGACTGGCTAAGAGGTTTTTTTTTAAAAAATTGGGACGATTAGTATATTTGTTGTTTTAATCTGTTTTAATAATGCTTATATTTATCATTTTTAATATAACGTATATTTAAATCTTTTTAAATAATTGAGTGATTTATTGTTTTTATCTATTTTAATGACGTAAGCCATCTTGGATCCTTTTTTAAAGAGAAAGGTAGGGTAAAAATATTTTAAATGAAATAAAAAATTGCAACAGGGAAGTGTCATGCATAGTTTCATCCAGGACCTGCCTAAAATTTGCAATCCTCTTTACCCTTCTTTCTCTCTTCCCCCCCCCCAGTGTCACCAGCTGTTGCAGGTGCTGAGCCCTCTGTGCCCTCCTCTCCTGGGAGACCTGGCATCCAGGCAGATGGGAGACCATTCAGCTGCACGTAAGTTTTGAGCAGGAGATGAAGTTAATTTATGACAAGGCCCGTCTTAAGAAGGATGTACCTGCACTGGAGTGACTCCTTCTCCACCACAACTGCTCTCTGATCTTGGGATTGGGCAAAGAGCAGGCAGACTTTCTTCAGGGGTGATGAAGAGTGTAATGGCACGTAGGGAAGCTTGCAGAATTAGCTGACCCCTCCCCTTGCCCTGTGCCACTGCAAACATGGCAGCCTCCATTTGCCAACTGCTTTTCGTGGCTTTGTCCTTCTGGTGCTAAACAACCTGAGAAAAGAAGCTGGTCTCGGGTCAAAGGTCGGGAAGGACCTACAGTACTAGTCCTGAAGGCGGGTCTTGTACGAAAGCAGCTCAGCAATGATGAGCGATAAGTGACTCCTGCAAGCTTCTCCTCCATTTGCTTCTCTTTACATTGGAGGGAAAGGAAGGATTCTGTTTCCCTCATTTTGTTCACAAAACAGTTTTAGTGGAATTGAAATGTTTGTTAGGGCTGGCATGCAGCTTCTGTCGTGTGTGTTTTGGTGCCGGCTTCCCAATGTTGCCCTTCCTTTCCAGTTGTTAGACTAAGCATGCAGTTATCCTGGACTTGACTCTTCATGTTCTATTCATCTATAGTTTAGACTGCTGTAGTGGCTGCTTTTGAAGATTGTTCGCATTCTGTAGTTAGCACACAGTGTGGCTTCTGGATTACTAACTGAAACTGAATGTTATTATTTGGGTTATGCCTGTGCTGTGTCAACTGCGCTGGGTCTTTGGCTATTTCTCAGCCCAATTCAAAGTGCTGTTTTTGACCTTTGACAGACTTTGCATGGCTTTGTGCCAAGGGTACTTACAAGACAGAGTGCCGCCCTCTGTCCCTCCCTGTCCATGCATTAACACTTCAGCTGTCTTTTATGAATCTTGTAAACCATGCTGGGAATATAACTGCAGCCAGCTTATCAGAAATAATTTTTAATGTAATATGGCCAGGAAGAGTCACAAGCCTGACTTGAGCAGTGGGTTCTCTTTACCAGACGGGCTGCATGTATGTGGTCTGATGCCCAAATGTGGCTAAGGAGGAGCCTCTAATTCTGCATGGAGTAGGAAGCTTTGACACATCTGTGAGTCTGTATTTTGTTTTGTTTTCTTCCTCCTCCTTGTAGCTCAGTAAAGGAGAAGCCTTCTGACCCTGTGGAATGGACCGTGGCTGATGTTGTGGATTATTTCACAGAAGCTGGGTTTCCTGAGCAAGCATCTGCCTTTCAAGACCAGGTGAGGACTGGGGAGTGTACAGAGAAAGGTTGGGAGATTTACATTCAAGCTGATCCTCAAGTAAAATACAATGCCCTGAAAATGCCCCCCCCTTAAGAGCAGGGGTTGGTAGCACAGGCGCCCTATACGCTGCGGGTTGTTTACAAATAAAGCACAAGCGAGGATATAAACAAAGGTGTATCAAAAAGCGGTCACTATGGAGTTGCTGCCCTAATGTCTTCATTTTCTAAATGATAGAAGTGCTTACTACAGATTTTAGATGTGATTCAGGCATCAGTCTCCCCCACCCTTGACCCCAGTAACCCACCAGTGCTTCAGATGTGCTATTCACTTAAAAAATAATAGGGAAGTACTGTATCTGCTTTTGCTCAGGTACCAGGGCTTGCCTGTGATATCATTTCCTCCAGCCCATCAGACATTTTTTGCAACCTTTTCTAGATTATATCTTAGAAAAACGGATATCAAGTGATGAAGATAAAATATGGCTTTCATTAGTTTCTATGACATATTTTTAAAAACTCAGTCCACATTTAAAAGGTTGAGCAGAACTGTTGTCATGAAAGATTCTGAGTGACTTGGGGCCGTGTGCTAGAACCATTAGGCCTGTGCAGCTGCAGAACTTGCTTTTGTTAAGCTTATGTCTTGGGAAAGGTCTGGTACATCCGACCAGAAGCCAGTGAGCCCACCTTGGGAGCGCAGTGATGCCAGCTGTAACATATGTTTGTATGTCCCCATTCAGAGTGTGTGTGTGTGTGTCCTTGCACTTCCTCCCACCAAGCTGGCTCATTGGCCACTATTCAGTGTCTGGAAGTTTGAACTTCTGTAGCCCTCTGTCTTGGCCCAGAGCCCTTGGGGGTCTGCTGGCGTTTCACTCTTCAGGGTTCTGCACTTGGAATGGTCCATCTTGCTGGCAGGTTGCTGGCATTACTTCCCTATTTGTACTTTAGGGCCACATGTCTGTATGTCATGTTGAAATCTGGAATCTCCTCTGAGAGTGTCTTATTATTAGCTGTGCATTGTGTTCACACACACACACAAACATACTCTTCTGGTGGCAGCTTCAAAACAAATGTTACAAGTGAAACTTTTTTTGTTTTTTTGAGGGCTGACAGGAGTCTGGACATTTCTTGGGTACCGACAAAAGTCTTGCTTGGGTCTAACATCTGGTTGGTAGGCAACAGCCAGTGGAAATATATACCCACTCCCCTCAATTTTTGCTTGTTTCACAAGGGTTTTGAAAATAGTAACCCTCCATCTTAAGGAGGTTAAATATGCATACTTCTCAGGAGGAGATGCAACAAGGTCCATTTCCGGAACAAAAATCTCCCAGCTATGCCCCAACCCACAGATAAAGCAATTTATTTCATCCAAAGAAGTAAGCTATAGCTTACAAAATGCTTATGGCAAAAAACAAAATTACAACTAACTTGTTTGTCTTTAAGAAGCTACAAGACTCTCTGTTGGGTTTGATGCAATGGGTTACTAACAGGGTTGTCCCTCTGCTAGTAGTGTCTAGATCAGTGGTTCCCAACCTTAGGTAACCCAGGTGTTCTTAGACTGCAGCTCCCAAGCAGCCTTCACCATCAAGCTGTGCTGGCAAGGACTTCTGGGAGTTGCCGTCCAAGAACATCTGAGGACCCAAGGTTTAGAACCAGTGGTCTATATGTTGGTCAAGTCGGTTGGTCTTGGCTCTCTGTTTCTGTATCCTAGGAAAGGGAGGAGGAACTGCCCCTGATAGGAGTCTCCTTCACCCTATAGCCCTGAACCGTTGTGCTTGTGTGTGTTGCCTTCCCCTGCAGGAGATCGATGGGAAGTCGCTGCTGCTGATGCAGCGCACGGATGTGTTGACAGGCCTGTCCATCCGCTTGGGACCTGCCCTCAAGATCTATGAATACCACATCAAGGTGCTGCAGCAGTGCCACTTCGAAGAGGACGAGGGCGACTCCTTCATGGGATGAGGAGGGATTTGCCACAGCTTGTGGAGGGAATTGGGGAAAGAGAGAGAGAGAGAGAGTTTGGAGGGGGGAGAGAAAAGGGGAGAACGGAGGGGGGGGCCCTGACATCCGCTGCCATCTACAGGTTTTTTAGCCCTCCTTTGCCTCTGAAAGCAAAGTGACATCTGTGTGGAAATGGCAGAGGCTGTGACTGGATATTGTGAAAGGAGGGAGGGAGAAGTGATGATCCTACCCCTCATGGCTCCTCACCACCCCGACTGACCAGAGGTAGAAAAGGCTGGGGTGGGACGGCTGCCAAACTCCTTTCTTTTCCAGTCCTCTGTGTGTTAACCTACTCCAAGCTTTCCACTTGCTACAGTGCATTGCCTGTTTTGGGAAAGGCAGAGAAGTGTCTTTTCTCTTCTACCCATCCTCAATTTAATTGAGATAATTTGTGCTTCAGCATTCCTCCACCCCACCCCCACTGTTTCCTCCTTTCCCACCACAGGAGCACTTGGTGGCCCAAACTGCCCCCTTCCTTGCTGTGATTGATAAGACAAAAAAAACATAGAACCTGCTGGAGGTGTCAGGAGGTTTCAATCAAGTATCTTTTTATTCTCTTTTTTCTGTTTGGGTAGGCTTTTCTTCCAATTTTCATGGTCGTTGCCCAGAGTCAACTGCTTTTTATTATTTCTTCCTTCTCATTTTTTAAAAATATAAATATTTAAAACTGAAAAAAAAAATCTGATTGGTTTAGTATTTCCGCATTTGTGGAATGTAATGGAACAATTCATGAGGATGTGTGTGAAAGGGAATGAAAGTGTCTAGCCAGAATCCTCTTGTATAATGACGCAAATGACATAACATTTAGAAGGAAGTTGCCCTAAGTTAAGAAACCAGGGTATACATTGTCAGGTGCACACTGAGCCATTCAACTCAGTATGTAGCAGACCGCGTGGACAGTGATTTCTTAACTTGAGGCCAATTGAGCTCCAAAGCTAAGCCATTTGTGCTTTACCAGTGTAACTAGATAAGAGGATTTGGGCCTCTGTGTAGAATGCCCTGTGTTCTGCTTTGAGGGGAAGAAGGTCATCTGGTGGTGGTGCTCATTTGTCTTTGGAAAGAAAAGACTTAGAATGACCTAATCTGACTAGCCCACAGTTGTTGGGGAGTGAGTCGGGGAAAGCCTAAGGATTTCTGGCTCAGCTGCTAGTATTGTAATTCACAATGGTAAAAGTGCAGTAATTATTGCACGTGGGCACGCGCGCGCGCGCACACACACACACACACACACACAAATTCTAAAATAAAAGACCTAGGACTCGGAAAAAGAAGCATTTGATAGTGGCAATGGGAATTGTACCTGTTGTCACTCCTAGTAACTCAGCTGGTGATCTTATATAGGCACCATAGCTGCCCATATCAGCAGTGTAAACGCGTCGGGGGTGTTTTGGAACAAAAAAAAACGTGCTAGAGAAAAACTGGTCAGGAGCCTTGCTGTGTGTCAAGAAGACCAAGCATGGACCTCCTCTTGTTTAGACAGGCCAGGTCAGGCCCATGAAGATGGGGGCAATTTGACATGGGGTGGTAGGCAGGGTACTGAACACAGTAAGCTGGTTCTTGCACACTTCAAGGACTGAGTGAAATTGGGATCATCTACGGCAGTGGTTCTTAACCTTTGTTACTCAGATGTTTTTGAACTGCAACTCCCAGAAACCCCAGCCAGCACAGCTGGTGCTGAAGGCTTCTGGGGGTTGCAGTCCAAAAACACCTGAGTAACCCAAGGTTAAGAACCAGTGATCTACGGCACACTATACATTACATGAACGTTTGTGGTGTTCAGGGGGCACACTGTACATAATACAGTACAAGGATTCTAGTTCCCTAGGAAGCTGCTGTTTCACAGATTAAGGTGGAGCTAGTTTAACTGTGATGGCTTTGCATGAAAAATGATGGGAACTGGAGCTTCATAGAAGGTGTTGAGGACTCTTGATTATGAGACCTCGGACCAAGTGGCAAGGTTCACTACCTAGAATTCCTTGTTTGGGAGCCTTGATAGATCAGGTCTGACACTAGTTTAAATTTAGAAAGTAAATGGGCCTGTAGTGCAGTGGGAGGATCAGTGGGTACACAGTGCATCTCTCCTGTTCTGCTATGCCTTGGGCAAAAGAGAATTGTACATAGATACCTCCTCCCCCTGCATACTTAAAGGAGTGTGGAGTTAGACAGGAACACACTGAATTTATGTTCCTAAAATTTTCTGTAGGACCCTGAGGGCTAGAAACATATTATTTGGATTTTGAAAGCAGAAGTCCTCAATGTTGTAGCACAGAAGTGCCTCTGGGGCTTACATTCTGGCTCCATGTGGCCCCTTATTGCACAACACCCTACTATTCTTTCCAGAGTTGAGAATAAAAAACAATTTTTTTTTCCCCATTCTAACATGTCTTACCCATATATTCTGTTCATTGGCTGCTGGCTGTCCAAAATGGTGGTAGTGGCATGTTGTAGAAACCAGAGTGGGTGACTCGACAGTAGGCGTGGCTCTGGGCCCTTTACACTCTCCTTTTTAGGGAAGGAGTAGGGCTATTGGATGGGGCAGATGTTCTGGTTCAGTGTTATTGACCCCAAATAGGACAGAATGTTGGGTGGGCAGGGCTTGGATGAAGCTGAATGCAACAGATAAGGCTGTTCCAGTGCAGCAAGCTTGAAGGTTTCTCCTTTAGGCCTGGGAGGGAACATGCTGGGTTGAATGACTTAAATGTTCAGCATAGGGAGAACACAAGTGAAGCATTGCAAAACAATACTAAAATAATTTGTGAAAGCCCTAATAGTGGTTTCATGATCAGGGATCATTCTTGACATACACTTGATTGTACATTGTAGTATATAAACGAAGGACTCTGCTGTATGGTCATCCATGTGTAAGTGACAACAGTTTCTAAAGCAAGCTTTCAGCATGCTGAATTAGCCTTGTAATGGGTTCATCATCAGCTCACGTAACAAACCTGAGAACACAGAAGAATGAGCTTTAAAAAGGATGTGTAAAGTTGTGAGTTAAGTAAGCACTGAAGAAATCACATTTAATTCAAAGTGTATCTACAGAATAATGCATCTTGTGGTCGACATAATATTCACCCATTGGGCCAGCATAATTATCTAATGAATATAAAAGCAACTCTTTTGAACCAATTGCGACCATTTTAATCAGGGGAAAAAGCAGCTGTATTTTAGTACTCTTTGCATAGGTTTCTCAGTCACTTTGTATAGCTTTTGGGGTGGACACAGTTTCATGCAGCTGCTGCTGGAAGCTTATTTCTGATGTAATGGTGAATACAGGGGGTTGAGCACAGGGCTGCAGGGCCATGAGCATCTTCTCACATTGCAACTGTTGCTAAGCCTTGTTTTAAAAGAATCAGAAGCACTTCCCTAAACTTACGTTTAAAGTTTGATTTTATTGGAGAGAAGGTCAGCTAGACCAGTGGTTCTTAACCTTTGTTACTCGGATGTTTTTGAACTGCAACTCCCAGAAACCCCAGCCAGCACAGTTGGTGGTGAAGGCTTCTGGGAGTTGCAGTCCAAAAACATCTGAGTAACCCAAGGTTAAGAACCAGTGAGTTAGACCATGGCAATTTAGAAACAAGGCATCTTTTAAGATCAAGATAGTGAAATTGAGTTGCCAAGCTGTGCCAGCAGTTCAGCTGCTATCAAAGTAATTCTTGATCCATAGTTGCATCTTGTATGTATGGTTTAACATTGACAGTGAAGACATTGAAATAGAGATTTTGTTTACCTGGGGTCAATCATCAATCCAAATGGAGACTTTTAAGCCAAGAAACCAGAAGAAGACTTGAGACTCTGAAGGGCAACAATGAAGGAATTAGAAAAAGATCAAGTATAAAAATGTTTCACTGGGGACCAAGGCCAAGATCATCCACACACTTGTATTTCTGATCACCATGTGTGGGTGTGAAAGCTGACAGGAAAAAAATATATTCATTTGAAATGTAGTACTAGAGGAAAGCTTTGCGGATACTCTGGACTGCCAGAAAGATGAACAGGTGGGTCCTAGATCAGATCAAGCCTGACTTATCCCTGGAGGCAAAACTGTTGAAACTGAGGTTATCCTACTTTGGGCACATAATGAGAAGACAGGATTTGCTGGAAAATACAATGCTGGGAAAAGTGGAAGGCAGCCGGAAAAGAGGAAGGCTCAAGATGAGTTGGATTGACTCCCTAGGAAACCACAGATTTCAGTTTGCAAGAGCTGAGCAGGGCTGTCAATTCAGGCCATTTTGGAGATTGCTCAATTCATGGAGTTGCCATAAGTTGGGGCAACTTCATAGCACATATCAACAAATGATGCCCATAATGCATCAGCTTTTTAAAGATCCAAGTGAAGCCCACATTCCCACCTGAAAGTGAAGTATATGATGGATGTTAAGGACATAATAGTAAAACAGTAAACATAGTACAACTTTGCAGCTATGCCACAGATACTCCCTGTGACTAAGATCTCTGTTTACAAAAGAAAGTAATGCTGGCTCAAGGTATACTTTAAAAAAAACTAATTTAGAGCTTAGGAGGTGGAGTTTTGATGATGGGTTTATCAACAGAAACAGAAACATTTGTTTCCTGATGGGATGGTCGGCACACACACATATACAGTTAAATGCAGTAGTGCCTGAAGCCAGAACACGCCCCAGCATATAATGGGCTGATGTTTCTGTTTAACATTTGTTTTAGGGATATTATGTAAGCTCATTGCCTGGGGTCGAGAGACAAATTGCTTCAGTGGCATGCTGCATTGTATGCAAAGTAAGGGAAACCAAAGTGAGCCTTTGAGAAAAAGCTAACATTATGTGTTGCCTCTTTTTAAAAAAAATTAAAGGGGCTTGATTGTACAGAGTAGAACATATAGCTCACGGTTGCCCAGATATTATGACTGGCAGTAAATTCAGGGCAGGCAGGAGAAAATCCTTTGTCGTGCCATAGGTTGAGTTTCCATAACGGCCTCCCAGGTGGTGTGGAAATGCAACCCTTACCATCCGCAGCCACTACGGCCATTACCAATGCTACCTAGGAATAAAGATAATTCTAGTCCAACTTGTGTGGGCAAGTTACCGAACCGGGGAAGGCAGTATTACATAGCAGATAGATGGGATTTGTTGTCAGAGGTAATGATGGATTTGTGGAGAGGTGTATATGCCTAGCAGAATTTGGAAAATGTATGTTTGGTAGCTCACAATTTGGAAAAGCGAATTTGGTAGTTCCAAGTTACCTTTTCCAAGGTTTGATCCCAACCAGAACATGTTTCTTAAAAAAAGCCTCTGGCTGCAGAAGCAGAATACCAGATGCTTGTGGAGAAGCAAACAAGGGAAACCTTATGGATCTACTGAAAGTATGCATTTGGCATCCGTGGGTAAGATGATGCAAAGGTGGATAAAACTGATCTGAAGCAAGCAGAATCCCTTTATGTTCCTTCTTTTACAACTTTAAATGAATCTTAAAGAGCGGATAGTGCTAGATAAAAGGTACCAGTTTTCTTTTCACAACAATAGCAACCAGCGCTGAAGCTTTTCAATATCTCTAAATGATGGGATCTGCTTCAGAGGGAAGAATGGTAAAGAATTTTAATCCCTTCATGCTGTTCCTCAGTGAAGCAACCATATAAGAAGTTTCTCTCCCCCCCC